ATCTCAAATAATATATTTAATAATTAAAACAGCAATTTATTTTCTTGTCAAAGTATTGGGGAATAAAGTTTTTTTTTTAATACATTGTCTGATAAAGTTCGTGAATAAATTACGTATCAAGTCTTTTTATTTTCGTGAAAACTTTATGACTTATCGTCGTCTTTTCCTTGACTTGTATCAAATTTCGTAGCTGAAAATAGCAACCCTAAAAATGCAAACAAAAACAGTATAAAAATTTTGAAAAAAATTTTCAAGACTTTTTTTTTTTTTTGTTACAAGAATTTTTTTTTTTTTTTTTATTTTTTTTTTATTATCAAAATATTTTTCTTACATCGAATTTCAATTTTATACTTTGTTTAGACTTCGTTTTCTTTTTTTTAATATTATTTTTTCTTCTCTGTGGATAATTTCTGCTTTCACACGAAATATTGCCGCGGTCACGTTTTCTGAAAAATTTATTTTATGCGTGGACAAACAAGGCGTGCGACCGCACGCTTTTCCTGGGAAAGCTGCTATATGTAAATTGATGAAGGGAAAACAAAAGTTAAAAATACTAAAATAGTTTTTTTTTCTTATATAAACATTGTTTTGAGTTTGCTTACTGTATTACTTTTGCGTCTGTTGCATTTTAATGGAAGCCTTAACTTTTATCAAACTAAGATAAAGTTTTGTAACTAATGTTTCTTCTCTGCATGTGTCTAACATAACTATAACAAGGCTAAACTTTCCTAATATACTTTCTGATCTTGAATAATATTAAAAAAACTGTAAACATGTAAACTATTTTATTAGTTAAATGGTTTTATCTAATAAAATAAATTAAATTTCGATTTTATAACTTAATAAAATAATAATTGCGCTTAAAAAGCGTGAAAACAACAGGCATTTAAAAAAGTAATATTTTTTAACTTGCTATGCTTGAATAAATTTGAGAAAAAAAGAAAAAATGAATTGAAAAAAAAATTAATGAATTTTCGTTTTAATAAAACATGTCAAACTTGAAAAGCAAGTAATAACAATAAAAAAGTTATAAAATAATATTTAATGAATATTAAATATTTTTTACATTTATTTCAATTTGCATGCCGACACTTTAGGATATTCAGGTTGATAGTTGTATGCCGTCCTAAAGCAAAGGAAGGTTGGCTTTTGCGTCAGCATTGCCGAATGCCGACCTGAATTTTGCTGATTGAATCTCTCTGGGTCTGTATGAAGTTTGTCTTTTTTTAGAAGTGGTATTTAATAGTAAGCGCTTGTAAGATCAAGAGTACTAAAAAAGTGGTATTTAGACAATACGTTGATCTGATGGTCTATTCTAGGTAAAGGGTAAGCATAGAGGTAATTGAATTTGTTTAAAGTTTTTGATTTATCGACACACATTCATTTTTTGTGTGGTTCATTTGCAGTGATTCCGATTTATGCAAACTAAAAAAGGGGGTAATTTTCCAGTATCTAAGGTTATTGTTATGTTGCTATGTTGTTTCATAAAAGCTTGACCAAAAATAATATCAGGACATGAATCAGGTAAGACTGACAAGGTGATGTCAATATACTTTTGATTTTAGAAAATTTTATTATGCAGTAGCATTTAATTATTGTTTTCAGTGACAAGGATGCTATTGTTACACTACCATAAATCTCATATATATTTTATATATGGGATTTGTTACTTATTAACAATGTGTTTGTTGATAAAATTGTCAGAGCTTCCGGTATCTATTAGTGTAGCAAAACTCTATCCATTTATTTCAATCTTTCGAATAGCCTGTGAGTGACAATTAGGGTTCCTTATCATTGCTGACATATCATTTGGTTCAGCAACAGCTAATAATTTATTTGATTTACATACTTTTGCAAAATATCCTTGTTTCTGGCATTTGTGACAAACAGTATCCCTAGCAGGATAAATAATGGTTGGATGGTGATTGTTTCCACAGAATTAACACATTTTCATGATTTGTGGTGAAGTTAGCTGATTATCAGCGTATTTTCTTGCATTGTGCATTGCATTTATTTGAGGTACGTTGGACAGATACTGCTCAGAGTGTTTTTGTAATTCTAATGACTGTGCTTGATCAAACGCTGATGTTTATGTGAGTGTCTTGTTTTCCAGTAGCCTCTGGCATATTATACTTGATTTTAAACCGGTGATGAATGTGTCTCTGATAGACTTGTCACATTAAATTATCAGCTGTTACTCCTTTAAAGTTGCAATCTTTTGACAGTGTTCGAAGAGCTTAGTTAAATTCATCTAGCATTTTGTTGTTTTTGTGTTGCAAATTGATGCTGTGTGAATATATATTTTTTTGGTTTAATACACAATGACGTGAGCACTTCGATTGCATTATTAAAAGTTAGCAAATCAGAGATACACAGTCGGTGATACAAAGTTTATCAATATTCTAAGCTTTTCATCAGATATAGATTTTGCGGATAAAAAGAAGTTTTGAAGAGTTTTAAACCAGTAAATCAATTCTTTACTTGACTTTGAAGAGTTTGGATTTGCATCAAATCTTTCAGGACAAAGGTATTTTTCCATATGGGTAATTTTAACATTTTAACTTTTAAAACGCTTTAATTTTTTTTTTTCTCATAAAGACATATATGAAAGATTATAACACCTCTTAATATCTAAGGTTTTATCTATCATGTAAATACAATAGAAAAGTTTAATATTAAGTAATCGTAATTCACTAAGGGATATATACATATAAAGTAGTAATTATATACACAAGTGATAAAACAATGCAACTTCCCAAGGGAGAGTATAAGTAATTGCTTAAGTATATATATATATATATATATATATATATATATATATATATATATATATATATATATATATATATATATATATATATATATATATATATATATATATATATATATATATATATATATATATATATATATATATATATATATATATATATAAAGAGAGAGAGAGAAAGAGAGATCTATATAGATTTATATTGTATTATATATATATATATATATATATATATATATATATATATATATATATATATATATATATATATATATATATATATATATACATATATATACATATATATATATATATATATATATATCTTCTCTCTCTCTCTCTCTCTCTCTCTCTATATATATATATATATATATATATATATATATATATATATATATATATATATATATATATATATATATATATAATATATATATATATATATATATATATATATATATATATATATATATATATATATATATATATATATATATATATATATAGATATATATATATATATATATATATATATAGATATATATATATAGATATATATATATATATATATATATATAGATATATATATATAGATATAGATAGATAGATATTTGTACAGTTCTTTCAAAAAAAATAGGCACAGTAAAAAATTGAATACATTTTCAAATGCTTTTTCAAAACGTAAAATCCCATCCATATTTCATAAAGACTTAATTTTTTTGAATGAGAGTAAAATTATTTATCTACAACTAACATGTCAATAACAAGTTCATATATAGTTACTTTTTTTTTCACATACTGGAAAAGATTGTAAAAAAAAAATAAACGCACAAGCTTTTTAATTGACTTCTGTTCTACTTTCTTGTCAACCGAACTGTTATTCATAATTATTAATTAATATGTTAGTTTGACATTTTCTGAAATTTTTTTTGACTAAAAAAAATTTCAGAAAATTTCTTCAGATATATTCTAAAGACATTTAAAACAACAGCTAGCTTGCAACACCATGAAGAATCAGGAAGTTTTAAAAAACTACTAAAGTCAAAAATAGTCTTAAATTTCGTCAAGTAAGAGTCAATATGATTTGAATTCACTGACGCATTCAAGGAAAACCGTGAAAAACGTAATTTGTCAAATACAGTTAGAAACATTTTACATTAAAGCTGCATAGGCAGAAATAAATTGGCGTCTATGCAGCTGTTAAAAAAACTGTTGGCAGCTAGAGATTTGCTCACAAGATTTAGATGGTGTAAGGAGAGAATTGGGTGGTCTTTAGAGAAGTAGAAACAATTAATTTTTAGTGATGAAAGTAACTTTGATGTAATGAATAGAAAAAGCAAAGTTCTTGTTAAAAGATTTAAATCGGAAAAGTATAGCAATGTAGCTGCGGCAGTGTTGGTATTAGGGGATGCTTTAATTTTGACAGAGTAGGAGTGTGTAATATTTATACATGTTGAATCAGCCAACATACATATATTAAGACACTTGAGGACTGTATGGTTCCATCAGTAGACAGTGGGTTGATCAAAATGAATGGTGGCTATATTAACAAGATTATGCTCCTGCCCACACAACTCATACAGTTAAGCATAAATGAAAGAAAATAAAGTAAATTTAATGCCCTGGCGAGCTCGATCACCAGATTTGAATCCAACCAATTCTATTTGGGCTTGGATGGACAAAGACTTAGTCGAGGTGCAAATATAATCCATAAATAGCTTAAAACAAGAATTAAATACCATTTGGAGAAGAGTTGCAAACGAAATTTGCAACAATCTTGTTTGCAAGGTTGTTGCCAATTTTTTTTTGCAAGCAGCACATCAAAAAAGATGTGCTGCTTGCAAAAAAGCTCGTGGGGATGTTTTAAATACTAGCTTAGATGTTATTTTTGTTTCTTAAATTTTTCATATATTGTTATTGATAATTTTTGCCATCATGTTTGATAACGTTTTTATATATAAATGTATGTTTTAGTATGCCATCTAATATGCAAGATTTGTTAAAAAAAGATTTTTCTTGCAAATAAAATAAAATTTGTTCAATATCTTCTTTAGTTTTTATTTTGTGGTAGTTTAAATATGCAATAAAATTTTACTGTGTCTATTTTTTTTGAAAGCATTGTATCTCTGTTTATTTGTTTTTGTATTTTATTTTACTTATCTCATTATAATACTAGATAATAATGATATTATTATAGAGATAGTAGATAATAATGATTTCTGCTTCATAGAGATAACTGATGATGATGTTCCAGATGATAATTTGGATGACTCACAAAAATGTATTGTATGTTATGGAAGGCCAAAGAATGCAACTATTGTGCATGGTTCTACTGGTCATGTGTGTTGTTGTCTCTCATGTGCTTATAAATTGGAAAGACGAGGTGACAGTTGTCCTATATGTCGAGCACCAATTGACAGAGTTATCAAACATTATACATCCTAATTTTATTTAAACTCGTTGTTTATTTTTTGTGTAAATGACTCAAGGTTTTCTAATAAAGTTGTTATCTAAAAAATATTGCTCAATTATTTTTTCATAATTAAGTGATTAAGCAATACTATTTTATTTTTTAAATACAGATTAAATACAGAATATTAGTCACAAATTCCTTTTTTTTTTTTTCTATAATTAAATGTTTACAAGTTTTAGTATGATAAGTTCGCAGTTTTAGTAATTACTTTTTTGAATTTTTAAGAAGGTTGTTTTGTTTTTTTTTGGCTTTTGGTTTTTCTTTTTTTTTTTTCCTTTTTTTTTTTTTTTATTAAAAATATACTTATCTTTATATGGTTTTTCTTTTGTACTTGCCCTTGGTTGCATGGACAAAATTGTTTTGTTAGTATTATTACCTCTTAAATATTTATTAATGCTACAAATATATTTTAAAAATTGAACAGATTTAATGTGCAATATTCTTGGAAGATGAAAATGAATGGGAAACGTTTTATTTTAAAATGAAACACATGCGGGTGAAGTATTTAAATGTAAATTGGAAATGTAGAGATAATGTATATTTCTTATTTTATATTCTTAACTTAAGCATTTGTATATAAGTTTTTGAATTTTTTTTTTTTTTAATTTAAAACCATAAACCTCAAGTTTAATCAGATTTTAAACAATTTGTATTATTTAATTATGTATAAACGATTGGTCAGCAGTTTGTACAAACCTTGGGTTAACAATGTGTACAAAATTTTGACCAGCAGTTCTTAACTTACATTTTTTATGTAGAATTAATATTAAATTACTCCAATATCTAAAATTATTCTTTTAATTTTTTGATTCTAAAATACAACAATTTATTGATATGTAGTTTTGTAAATTACACAAATTCTTTTGATTGGTTTGTAAATATTTTTATTTTGTTCTTGTTATTTTATAAATTTAGAAGTACTTTCTTTTATATGATTGTGACATTTATAAGAATATATGTGTATTTCATTTTTTATATCAACTTAAATTAAAATAGTTGTGTGATAATTATGTCTTACTGTAGTTATGATAATTATGTACTACTGTGATTTGTGGAATAAAGTTCACTTATAAATATAATAAATTATTGTGTTATTGATTATTATAAATTATCTATTTTAAGTTTTTGATTTATCATTTTCTAAAGAAAAAAGTTTTTACATATTGGTATTATTGCATCAGCTTTTTTTATCTGCATTAATTTTTATTTTCATCGTTTTGTTTTTGAGTCTTTTATTTTCAAGCTACATTAAAATTATTCATATTATATTAACCCCCTGGTGACAAAAATTTGCGACAATCTTTGAGAAGCTTGACTTATTAAAGTTTTAGCCAGACTTACTTTTATATATGTTTTATTTATAAAATCTTAGTTATCTTTTATTTAAATTTTTGTTTACTTAGATTAATTAATAAAAAAGTTATCCCAAAATAAAAGCCGACAACATTAATTAAACAAGTGTACAACTATTGTAATTTGCATCCTAACACTAAAATGAAAAACATTTTATAGTATTTTGTTGCCTCTAATTACCCTGAAAGAACCATTAAATATTATATGTCAAAGTGGAAGAACAATGAGCCAAAGTCTCGTAATCCTGGATCAGGCAGAAAACTAAAAATTATGACTGCTAGGAACATTAATCACCTAATAGGTCTCTTGAATAACCGGTCTGGAACTTCAACCAAAAAATTGTAATGTAATTTAAGTGCGATCATTCCTACATTTTAAAAACATTAAAAAACAAAACAACCTTTTTATTTATAAGAAATTTGTTATTTATAAGAAAAACAAATCCGCACTGATTGCACTGATAAAAAAATTAGAGCAGTTGTAACTGAAGTCTGGAAAAATTTGTTGCAAATTTAGAAATGTGAATTTGTCATTTATGATGAGTCTTATTTTACATTTTAACATACAAATAAAAATTCTAATGCTGGATTTTACATAGATAAATTTAAAAATGCACCAAAAAAAGTAAAATATAAGCGCCAAAGCAAGTTTGAAAAAAAAAAAATCTTGTGTGGATTTAGCACCCACAAAGTTAAATTTTGTTAAACTTCGCCTCTCAAAGTTACACGAGGTGGAATAGCGAATGTTCAATAAACTTTGGTTAAGAAGTTTAATGAATAATATTATTTGCCTAACAAATAAAACTATTTGCTTAGCGAACATTAATATTCGTAAAACAAATAAGGTGGAGGTAGGAGGGGATTTTTGAAAACATCAGGTGTGTACAAGGGGGGAGGGGGTCCTAAAACAGTAGTTTTACTGCGTATGTATTTTGTGGATGGCCTCTGAATTTAAAAATCAGTAAATACGAAATAAAATAAATAGTATAAATCATTTAATAAAAAGATATTTATTAGTTTTTTGTTCTTTTTTCATATCATTTTATTATTAATAAAATTTTGGTTTCCCTCCTTTTATCATATTTTTATTTAAATGACATCAATCACTTGCTTGTAATTATAACAATTATTTTTATTTGCTTTTTATTTTTATTGTTATTTTTTATTATTACCTATTATTTTTCAACTACACTGTTATTATTTTTCATTTATTAATTTTTTAGTATCACTTTTTAGTATTTGGTTATACCTAATTATAAATAATATAATATTTATATATTCTAAGCAGAAATGTGAAATCGTGTTAAAAAATTTTCTAAGCTGGTTCAGAATTTTTGTTGATAAGGTTTAAGTATCTAGGTACATAATTGAAAAAAAATTTGTCACAACTAAAAAATATTTATTATTCGAAAAAAAAAATGCTATTACTATTCATTTAGTAGTTTGTTAAATGATGTTTGTTACTTCAATACCTTTCAAATACAATACAAAATGTTTTGTAAAAAAATTAGTACAAAACATTTTGTACTAATTTTTTTACTTTTAGGACTGAATGCTTTCTCAACATTACAACATACTGCATTAACTTCTTTTGCATACATGTGCGTACATGCCTTGTACAAGAATTTTATCAACTTTTCTTAAACAAGAATAGATTATTTTTAGCAGCTGATCTTCATTTTTAGCTTTTTAATTGTTTTTATACAAATAGCATTTAGGAAAGGACCAGAAATCTTCTCTAGGTCATAATTTGTACTCTAATTTTTTGTGCATTAAAATTTTATTTTGTGCTATTACTGCTTGTGTTCATTTTGTGTCAAATTTTTGTCACAAGGGGTTAGCATAGTTGTAGCTCAGCTGCTCTAGAAAAATAAATTTTTTTAATATCACTTTTTATATTTGGTTATTAAATCAAGATTTTATTGCAAATTTTTTATTACAGTCACACATGTATTTAATAAGTAAAATAGTGCCTTTGTCTTTGCATCCACATTATATTTTAAGAGTGGCCAGTCTGACTATTTCTTCATTTGTTAAGTATGAAAATATAAATAAGTTTGGTAATCTCTTAGTTAAATGCCCTTCTCTGATAGCTCATATAGGTTCAATTGACCCAATTGATTGTCCAAATGGAGATCAAGCACATATATCTTTATCAGATGTAAGCGCTTGGGGTAGCATTGCAGTAGACTATGATAAACAATCAAGTCAATTAAAAATCGAAGAAATAAGTCATTCAAATGCAATAATCTTTCAAACAGCAATACTTACCATTAAAATTCCACATACTTATGATATTCATGCAGTAGCTAATTATATTTCTGTGAATGAAAGTGAAAACAAATCTTTAAATTTGTTCTGTGCACATGATTGCACGCTAGGAAAAATTAAATCATTAAACAGTAGTATTGTGTGTCATGGAAGTTTAATTTGCGAATCATTGCTCAGTAATGCTAATTTGCAAAGCAAAAATTGTGTCAAGATTGGCAAAATCCAAGCACAAGAAATTTGTATTTCAGCATCTAATGATATCCAAGTTGAGAGCATTTATTGTGGATCAGCAAACATCAATTCATTTGCTGGTTCAGTTTATATTAAAAATCTCCACGGCATTTTAGATTCATCTACAACGTCGGGATCTTTAACAATTGGTTCTTTAGATGGCAGTTTAAGTGCCTCTACAATATCTGGAAATATTAATGTATTGATTGAAATTTGCAATGAAAGAGTTCACCTGACCACACAAAGTGGTAATGTTGAAGTTAATTTATCAGACAAAGTTTCTGCATCTATTGAAGCTGAAGGAGCCACGATTGATGTTGAAGAGGGGGTTTTATTTGATGGAATGAAGCAACACATTTCAAATGAACTAGAAAAGTTTGAAGGTAAAGTTGGTGATGGTAAATCTGAAATAGCTGTGTTTTCAAAAACTGGTTTTATTTCATTTTTGAAAGGAAGTTGGTTTTCAAATTTAAATATTAACTGAAAAAACAGTTTTTCGTTTTGTAGTTTTTTGTTTTTTTTAATAGTGAATTTTTAAAACGGTTTTTTTGTTTTACTTTTTTGAGTTTCTTTCACAGTTTTGAGTTTTTAAAATCAATGCTAGCTTTAGATGTAAGCAATTGTTTTACTTGTTTTACTTTTAGTTGAAACATTTGCTTATTCTGATAGAATTTAAACTTTTTTCAATTGCTATAATTATTGATTGTAAGTATTATAATTATATTATATATATATATATATATATATATATATATATATATATATATATATATATATATATATATATATATATATATATATATATATATATATATATATATATATATATATATATAATACATACATATATATATATATATATATATATATATATATATATATTGTATATATATATATTGTATA